CCATGCTCATGGATTGGAAGAACAAACATTGTGAAGATGTCACTACAACACCTATTAGAATGGCAAAAATCCACAACACTGACACCACCACATGCTGGTGGGGATGTGGGGCAATAGGAATAAGGATTCATCCTAGTAGGAAAGCAAAATGGCACAGCCACTTTGGAAGGCAGTGAGGTGGTTTATTACAAAAGTAAGCATTCTTTTACCATAAAATCCAGCAGTCATGCTCCTTGGTAGTTATCCAAAAGAGCTGAAAACTTAAGTCCACACAGAAACTTGAACATGAATATTTATAGCAGCTTTATTCACAGTATCAAAACTTGAAAGAAACAAAGATGTCCTTCAGTAGGTAAATGGATAAATAAACTGTGGTACTTCCACACAATGGAGTATTACTCAGCCATAAAAAGAAATGAGCTATCAAGTCATGAGAAGACATGGAGGAATCTTAAATGCATAAAAGTGAAAGAAGCCAATCTGAAAAGGCTACATATTCTATGATTCCAATGAAATGACATTCTGAAAAAGTCAGAACTATGGAGACAGTAAAAAGATCAGTGGTTGCAGGAGCTGGGGGGGCAGGTAGGGTGAGGTAGGGTGGGAGGAAGAGATTAATAGGCAGGGCACAGAGAAGTTTTAGGGTAGTTAAAATATTCCATGTGATATTATATAATGATCGATATATGTCATATATTTGTACAAACCTATACAATATACAGCGCCAAGAATGAATCCTATGGTAAACTATGGATTTTGGGTGATCGTAATACACCAATGTAGATTCATCCTTTGTAAAATATGTACCATTCTGTTGAGTGATGTTGACTGTGGGGGTCACTATTCATGCATGGGGGGCAGGAGGTTTATGGGAAATCTCTGTACATTCCTCTCAATTTTATTGTGAACCTATAACTGCTCTAAAAAAAGAAAATCTTTAATATAAAAGTTTACTAGACCCATACCATGTACATAGAAAAGAATTAGCCTCTACTGCTTTGGTATTTCTAATTTCAGAACATCCTAACATGGGTTAAGCTTTACCTTTAATAGAAATATTTCAGGCCTGGAAAAGGCATATGCCTTTGTTTAATCTTTAAAGGAGACTTTCTGGGAACTGAAACGTAGTTTGACTCTTCTAATTTGTTCAAAACAATAAACTTGCTTGGGATGGGTGAAAGATGTACCTTCTCTCTTTTTAATTTGGGAGAAGGTCTATTGTGAGTGAAACTACATTCTCAGTTTTAGAAAATAGTTACTTTCATTTTTTTAAAAAGATTTTATTTATTTATTTATTTCTTTGTCAGACAGTGAGAGAGAGAGCAGGGGGAGTGGCAGGCAAAGGTAGAAGCAGACTGCCCGCTGAGCAGAGAGCCCGATTCAGGGCTCTATCCCAGGCCTGGGATCATGACCTGAGCTGAAGGCAGACACTTAACCCAATGAGCCACCCAGGCGTCCCAAACAGTTACTTTCAAACACAAGTATTTTAGTACTAGTAAATGTAAATTGATCTAATGGAAATAGTAACAGGAGATAAAGCAAAAGATAAGAAATAGTGACATTTATAATGAAGCCTAGGAATACAGAAAAATAAAAGAAGTTCATGTGGACATTAGGATCAGGAAACTGATTCCTTAAAAAGTATTCATGCACTTTTACCTCTTGGCATTATCTTTGCATATGATATTTTGGAGACCATTTAACTAATCTAATCCTTCGAATAAATCTTTCCCCCGCCCCCCCGCTTTTTTAAGGCTGGCCTTAAAACTTTTTTCTCTGTTTCCTGAAAACAGATTTTCAGAATCTGTTTCTGTTGCTTACAACCAAAGTTCACCTGAGAATCCTGTTTTGAACCTTTTCAGATTCCCAGAGATCTTTCCAAATACCCAAGATTATGGGTTCTCAGCTCTGCCTGTGCAACCTCAAGCCAAAGCTCATGACACCAGTCTTTGTTCCATACCCCACATCAGATCTCTGGGGGCTTACCTTCTTCTATTTTCCTGTATTCCTAGGCTTCATTATAAATGTTACTGTTTTTTCTTGTCTTTTGCTTTATCTCCTGTTACTATTTCCATTAGATCAAATACATTTATTATTACTAAAATACTTGCATTTGAAAGCAACTTCACGGGGTACCTGGGTGGCTCAGTCCGTTAAGCATCTGCCTTCATCTCAGGTCATGATCCCAGGGTCCTGGGATTGAGCCCCAGGTCGGGCTCCCTGCTCACTGGGGAGTCTGCTTCTCCCTCTCCCTCTGCCCCCCCCCATGCTCTCTCTCAAATAAATAAAATCTTTAAAAAAAGAAAAGAGCAACTTCATACACATTCATCACTCAAGAGGACTCCAATGTCAGAAAGATTATTTTCTTTTTTCTTTTAAAGATTTATTTATTTATTTGGGGGGTGCAAAGGGAGAGGGAGAGAGGGTCTTAAGCAGAGCTGAGAACTCAGCTGAGGTTCCTCGCTGAGGGTGGAGCTCAACGTGGGGCTCAATCTCATGACCCTGAGATTATGACCTGAGCCAAAACCAAGAGTTGATACTCAATAGACTGAGCCACCCAGGCACCCCAGAAAGATTATTTTCTATATAAGCCCTTCCCAAACTGGGGATAAAGAAATATTCTTACAGGGCTGTTAACATGAGTTTGGAAGAATGCAAGACTGTTTATAAATTTCTTGAACATATAGATACATTTAAATTAATTTCTTTTGTACCTTAGGACTTCTCAGGAGTCTTAAGTGTGCTAAGCAGTATCATAAATCATCAAGAGGGGCATTTAACAGGATGCCTATTTGACCTTTTGTTCTCCAGGTACCATATTGGCAGCATCTTTCTGATGTTCTCTGAGACAATTTGGGAGCTGGTCTACATAATGGGAAGATAACCATTTGCTAACATTTTTCACTTTTTTTTTTTTTTTTTAATCTTGAGGGTCTGTTTCCTTGTCTTCCTGGGTGGCTCATGCAGAACAATGTTTTGAGGAAGACAATCACCTGTGTGTTTTCAGAAGTGGCTGAGGTATATGGAGCTGCTTTTTCTTTACACTGTAATGGCTTGTTTCCAAGCAGCGGTGGAGGGATGGGGGTGGGGGGGGTGTAGCTGTGTTTGCAGCTAGGAAGGACTGAGTCGGCTCCAGGTCATTTCCTTTGTCTCTGCTCCAGCGGAGCCTTTTACCTCTTCTGCTGTTCCTGGTCTCAGCTGGTGCCTCCTTTCAGCAAAAACTGTAGGTTGCCAGGGTGAATGAGAAACCACGTATGCCTTAGGTGTTAATTCAGTTACTTAATGCTATAAGATGGGGAAGGAAACAAATGGAGCCAATAAACCATGTCAGGCTTGTGGCCGTGATTGTACCTGAGCTCAGAAACTTTGGTTTATGTCCAGGTTGAATGGATCTGTGTGATTCTGGAAGGCTGAGAAATGATTATAATTAAAGATCAATATTTACAATAGCTCCTGAAGACCTTTTTTCCAAGCAGCTGACCACACTGGAATCTCCCTGAGGAGTGGACAGGAAGCTCATATTTTGGTTTCCGTTTTAGGATGAGTTAACTGAAACAGGCTTTGTGCTGTGCAGTCCCAGCATCATCGTGTAGATAGGCCTATGTGCTTATTAATCAATTTAATAAGTTAGTTATTCAGGATATGATCTCTATTCATAAGTATTGCATGGGTGTAGGGAAAGGGGAAAGAGGAGCATTCTGGGGGGAAATGTCTTTGCTTGTTGGAAACATGTTAGAACTGTGGAAAGTACATGAAATCAGTCATCTGAGTAATTTAAGTTATAGTTCTATTTGTGGTGACACTAGTAAAAAAGAGAATTTTTTGCCCAAAAGATGTAAAGCATAACAAAGAAAAACTGAATACTTGGATACAACTCATTTGGCAGCACCATCAACAGTGTCCCCTCATGGCAGGGTTTCTGACTTACTTTCCTAGCCAGCTGCCCTTCGTCCTCCACAAGCATACCGCTCTGGTGATGCCTGTGTCTCTTCCCGCACCTCGCGCAGCCCAGTCCTGCAGCCAGCCTTAGCTGGAGTGTTGAAGTACCCGAGAATTTTAGGGTTAGTGAGAAATACACTCAGGTTAAGCAACTGACTGTGAGGCATGGCCTCATAAGGACTGCTGCCAATATAATAACCCGGCGAGGCAGAACTCCATGCATGAGTTACCCCACATTTGGGAAAGTTTCTTTTAAACTTAGAAGCTCTACAGTGAGGCAGCAACACACAGTAAATTAATGCTCTGAGAGTCATATAGCGTATTAGGGGATGAAGCGGGATTTCAGTTTCCAAAGTGAAGGTTTCCAATGTATCAGCTAGTCCCTAATTAATAATAAAAATACTCACACTCTAATGCTTCTGATGGAAACTGAGTAAGTGACAATGCTTATATTAACTGGTTTCTTTCCAATGTGAGAAGTACAATGACCGGTCGCTGTGTTCATACAAAATAATAATAGGACCTACTATGAGCCAGACACTATTCTTTACACATAGCAGCTGACATTATGGCTTTACACACATTAACTCAGACCCCAGGGCCACCCTATGAATGGGTATTGTTATCACTCTCATTTTCTAGATCAGAAACTGAGGCACAGAGAGAAGTCAGAGGTGCCCAGTACCATTCATGTAGTATGTGCCAGAGTGGAGGGTGAACCCTGGTGGTCCCAGTGTGGTTTTGCAAGATTACTATCTTGAGAAGGAGTGGGGAAGGCTGCACCCCTACCTGATAGAGGCTGACGTACTGTTTCCGCAGCCACTGCTGTCTCTGGTCGGGGAACTTCCTCATCTTCCTCACGGCCCTCGTGAGTTCTAGCAATCCACTGAAGAGCATCTTAGCTGTGTGCTTGGGTGCCACAAAGTGCAATAATCTATTGTCCGTGGTCTGGAGCCCATAGAGCAGTGTCACGCCAGTCTCTGAGAGAAACATGTTACCCAGTTTGTTCTGAACACACACAGTGTGTATATCAATGCTAGGGTGTCCCATGTACACAGCCTTTGCTGAAAACAGATCCAGGACCCCCTCTGCCAGGCCACTTAATCCAGCATTGCCCAGTAACGGGAATTTGCCAGGCTCAGACGTGTTACTAAGCACACCAAGTTTTGCTTTAGCACTGGCTGGGGAGGCAGTGGTAGGCTTTATCCAGGTCAAGGTGCTGTTGTCAGGCTGAAGCTGGAGGAAGCAGCGGGCTGACAGGTGCGTGTCCTGGTCGTAGTGGATGACAGTGGCCCCCTGCAGCAGGAACTGGTGCACATCAGCTCGGATGGACAGCACGTACCATGGGATCAGCTCTGTCCCGTGGTCAAAGGCCTTCTGTGGCTCTTCTGATCCGTGAGAGTCCCATTCTTTCGACTGCTCAAAGATGTCGTTTTCGGAATCCAACAAATCTCCAATTATAAACCTAATGGAAAGAGATGTAAATTTGGTCTGTCTTGTAATCAGAAGTGAGAACAACACAAAGCTTTTCACTGACACTGGACATCATTTTTCACTTCACTATGAATTCAAATTAGCATAGGAAATATAAAATGCTAAAGGTCAGAGTAGATTTTGTATAGCTGCATTCTAAAACCTTATATTTAGCAATAGGTCTGACCATAGGCCTAAGGAAAGGAACTGCTAGATAAATTTTGTATTTTTTTTTAGAGATTTTATTTATTTAATTTTAGGGGGGGGTGGGCAGAGGGAGAGGGAGAGAATCTGAAGCAGACTCTGCACTGAGCACAAAGCCTGATGCAGGGCTCGGTCTCACGACCCTGAGATCATGACCTGAGCCAAAACCAAGAGTTGGATGCTTAACCACTGAGCCATTCAGGAGTCCAAAGTTATTGTGTTTTTAATATCAACAATAATCTTCATGATGTATTAGTTTTCCCTCTTGTGTCAGGAATTGTTAAATACTTTACATACATTTGCACTTAATCTGACCTACTCATGAAGTAAGGTTTTTTTTTTCCTTTTTTTTTAAAACCTCTGAAGAAACTGAGCTTCAGAAGGGGTAAGTAACTCACTCCAGGTCATCCAGCTCAGCAGGGTTCTGTTCTGACTCATCAGCCTGGGACCTGCATCACTAGGTTTGACTGCCTTCTACTTGATCAGAACCAAAAGTTGTGACCTGAACACAATGGTACTAAAACAGGCAGAACAAGACTTAATAAGCTGGCCTGAGACGTGCCTCTGTAAAAAAATAAAATACCATTAGTTCAAAGACACTCAATGGAAAACACAGTCACGGTGGCCAGATGAACAAGAACAGCTCTCTGGGTCTCCACCTTAGATTTTCATTGTGCACACATGTGCACATACCAGACTTGTCTGCTTGGAAAATTTAGCCAGTTGTCTTCCCTGAGTTGGGAATGTGGACTGTTAGGTCCAGAAGGATCTGGGGTGAAGGCATGGGAGACCTTATTGCCTCCTTCCTATATGGCCACCTTGGTAGGAATATGCCCAAGAGAGACTCATTTTTTTCAAAGCATGAAGAATTGTTATTAAGATCAAGATTTCTGCTGTTTGGTCCATAGACATTGCTTGCTAAGTGATGGATAAAATTGAGAAGGCACGGGTCCATACATCTCTGGGAAGGAATGTTCCAATCACCTTGGGAACGTGACTCTTGGGCAGACTACTGTCTCCTGGCAAGGCATGAGCTGTAGCACTGGGCTTCCTGGACTCTCAGTCTAGAACCCGGTCCCTGAGTAAGATCCCACTCCTGTTTTCAGGAAGTTCTTCCTCCTTGCCTCTCATAAGCAGATACTCTTTTTTTTAACCATTTTATTTATTTATTTTTGTGGAGAGAGATAGAGAGAGACAGCAAGAGAGGGAACACAAGCAGGAGAAGTGAGGAGGGAGAAGCAGACTCCCCGCTGAGCAGGGAGCCTGATGTGGGGCTTCTGGGACCCTGGGATCATGACCTGAGCTGAAGGCAGATGCTTAATGACTGAGCCACCAGGCGCCCCATAAGCGGATATTCTTAAAAAAGAAAAGAAATCTACAAGAGATCTCACAAATCTGATGATCAGAATATCCTTCTCTGATAAGCCACGCTGATAACACTAGGAGCAATCCCAGCAACAATAAACCTTATAAATACAATTTGATGCATTCATATAATGTAATACATTGCACAACAATGAAAATGAATAGTAATAGTTACTGCAATGCAACAAAGGGACATATCTTTTTTTTAAATTTTATTTTATTATGTTATGTTAGTCACCATACATCACCAGTTTTCGATGCAGTGATCCACGATTCATTGCTTTCGTACAACACCCAGTGCTCCATGCAGTACGTGCCCTCCTTAATACCCATCACCGGGCTAGCACATCCCCCCACTCCCCTCTAAAACCCTCAGTTTGTTTCTCAGAGTCCATAGTCTCTCATGGTTCATCTCTCCTTCCAATTTCCCTCTCTTCATTTTTTCCCTCCTTCTCCTAATGTCTTCCATGCTATTCCTTATGTTCCACAAATAAGTGAAACCATATGATAATTGACTTTCTCTGCTTGACTTATTTCATTTAGCATAATCTCCTCCAGTCCCATCCATATTGTTGTAAAAGTGGGTATTCATCCTTCCTGATGGCTGAGTAATATTCCATTGTACATATGGACCACATCTTCTTTATCCATTCATCTGTTGAAGGGCATCTGGGCTCTTTCCAGAGTTTGGTTATTGCAGACATTGCTGCTATGAACAGGAGAGCAAATACCCAGGAGAGCAATTGCTGGGTCATAGGGTAGTTCTATTTTTAATTTTTTGAGGCACCTCCACACTGTTTTCCAAAGTGGCTGTATCAACTTGCATTCCCACCAACAGTGTAAGAGGGTTGGTTCCCCTTTCTCCACAACCTCTCCAACATTTGTTGTTTCTTGCCCTATCAATTTTTGCCATTCTAACTGGTGTAAGGTGGTATCTCAATGTGGTTTTGATTTGAATTTCCCAAATGGCTAATGATGATGAACATTTTTTCATGTGTCTGTTAGCCATTTGTATGTCTTCTTTGGAGAAGTGTCTGTTCATGTCTTCTACCCATTTTTTGACTTGATTATTTGTTTTTTGGGTTTTGAGTTTGAGAAGTTCTTTATAGATCTTGGACACCAGCCCTTTATCTGTAGTGTCATTTGCAAATATCCTCTCCCATTCTGTGGGTTGTCTCTTTGTTTTGTTGACTGTTTCCTTTGCTGTGCAGAAGTTTTTATCTTGATGAAGTCCCCAAAGTTCATTTGCTGTGGCTGATGTTCTCCTCTAGGATTTTGATGGATTCCTGTCTCACATTGAGGTCTTTCATCCATTTAGAGTTCATCTTTGTGTATGGTGTAAGCAAATGGTCGAGTTTCATTCTTCTGTATATAGCTGTCCAATTTTCCCAGCACCATTATTTGAAGAGACTGTCTTTTTTCCATTGCATATTTTTTCCTTTGTTGAAGATTATTTGACCATAGAGTTGAGGGTCCATATCTGGGCTCTCTATTCTGTTCCATTGGTCTATATGTCTGTTTTTGTGCCAGTACCATGCTGTCTCGGTGATCACTGCTTTGTAATATAGCTTGAAATCGGGCAACGTGATGCCCCCAGCTTTGTTTTTTTTTTTTTCAAGATTTCCTTCGCAATTCAGGGTCTTTTCTGATTCCATACAACTTTTAGGATTGTTTGTTCCAGCACTTTGAAAAATGTCATTGGAATTTTGATCGGGATGGCATTGAAGGTATAGATTGCTCTGGGTAGCATAGACATTTTAACAATGTTTATTCTTCCGATCCATGAGCATGGAATGTTTTTCCTTCTTTTTGTGTCTTCTTCAGTTTCTTTCATGAGTGTTCTGTAGTTCGTAGAGTATAGATCCTTTACCTCTTTGGTTAGGTTTATTCCGAGGTATCTTATGGTTTTTGGTGCTACTGTAAGTGTTCTGTAGTTCCTAGAGCATAGATCCTTTACCTCTTTGGTTAGGTTTATTCTGAGGTATCTTATGGTTTTTGGTGCTACTCTAATTTATCTTTCTACAGTTGCATTGTTAGTGTATAAGAAAGCAACTGATTTCTGTGCATTGATTTTGTATCCTGCCACATTACTGAATTGCTGTGTGAGTTCTAGTAATTTGGGGGTGGAGTCTTTTGGGTTTTCCACATAAAGTATCATGTCATCTGCGAAAAGAGAGAGTTTGACTTCTTCTTTGCCAATTTGAATACCTTTTATTTCTTTTTGTTGTCTGATTGCTGTTGCTAGGACTTCTAGTACTATGTTGAACAATAGTGGCGAGAGTGGGCATCCTTGATGTGTTCCTGATCTTAAGGGAAAGGCTCTCAGCTTTTCCCCATTGAGAATGATATTCACTGTGGGTTTTTCATAGATGGATTTTATGAACTTGAGGAATGTTCCCTCTATCCCTATACTCTGAAGAGTTTTAATCAGGAAAGGATGCTGTATTTTGTCAAATGCTTTTTCTGCATCAATTGAGAGGACCATATGGTTCTTCTCTCTCCTCTTACTAATGTGTTCTATCACATTGATTTGAGAATGTTGAACCACCCTTGCATCCCGGGGATAAATCCCACTTGGTTGTGGTGGATGATCCTTTTAATGTATTGTTGGATCCTGTTAGCTAGGATTTTGTTGAGGATTTTGGAATCCATATTCATCAGGGATATTGGTCTGAAATTCTCCTTTTTGATGGGGTTTTTGCCTGGTTTGGGGATTAAGGTAAGGCTGGCCTCATAGAATGAGTCTGGAAGCTTTCCTTCTGTTTCTATTTTTTGAAACAGCTTCAGGGGAATAGGTATTATTTCTTCTTTGAATGTTTGGTAGAATTCCCCAGGGAATCCATCAGGCCCTGGACTCTTGTATTTTGGGAGGTTTTTGATCACTGCTTCAGTCTTGTTACTGGTTATTGGCCTATTCAGGTTGTCAATTTCTTCCTGTTTCAGTCTTGGGAGTTTATGGGTTTCCAGGAAGGCATCCATTTCATCCAGGTTGCTCAGTTTATTGGCATATAGTTGTTGATAATAATTTCTAATAATTGTTTCTATTTCCTTGGTGTTAGTCGTGATCTCTCCCCTTTCATTCATAATTTTATTAATTTGGGTCCTTTCTCTTTTCTTTTGGATAAATCTGGCCAGTGGTTTATCGATCTTATTAATTCTTTCAAAGAACCAGCTTCTAGTTTTGTTGATCTGATCTACTGTGTTTCTGGTTTCTAATTCATTGATCTCTGCTTTAATCTTAATGATTTCTCTTCTTTTTTTTTTTTAAAGATTTTATTTATTTATTTGACAGAGAGAGACACAGTGAGAGAGGGAACACAAACAGGGGGAGTGGGGGAGGGGAGAAGCAGGCTTCCTGCAGAGCAGGGAGCCTGATTTGGGGCTCGATCCCAGGACCCTGGGATCATGACCTGAGCCGAAGGC